TTTTTTTTCAGAGAATGATTTGCTAGTTTCCGCTATCTTTTTACGCTATCTGTTTTAGTGCACCTAAACTAGCCGCTAATAACAACACATGTGAGGATTGCAACCGTCAGCTGTGTTCAGCCAGTAATCTAAAGCGACATCGCGCCACATGCAAAATTGTGATGCAAAAGTATGTCTTTGAGGCGCTTAGCATATACTCTTAGGTTTATATTTTTGTGACCTATGCTGATATTTTAGGCAGTATTCAAAGAACGGAGGCATAGCATCACCAGTACCGAAGCCTGTACAGCAGCAAGTAAGGAGTCTGTTACGTTTAGAATTTTAGGTTTTTTAAACTTGTGGTATTTATTTTCAGCAGAAATGGCAACCTGTAGAGATAGCGGCCCGAGAGCGAATGATCATCGATCGCTCATATGCAGCTGCTTTAGCGGCAAGTCAAGAAGCTCGACAACATATGCCACAACAACAACCTCAAATGATTACTCGAACGGGTGCAGATAATGCGGGATCGTTCGTAATTGTTCAAGATCAAGGTGTTGTAGGAGAGAGACCATGGGTTAGCTTTTTTGTGGACTTTCATACATTAATATACTCATGATACCTTGAAAAGTATGTGTTTTTTTAAGATAACTGTTGGAGAGCACCTCCGTGCCCAGCACATGCAGCAGAAAGTATTGGAAGCCCAGAATCTGCAACAACAGAACCTGTCTCAGCCTATGAGTTCCAGTTCTACAGGACAAGCATCGGACAGCATGACCCCACCAGATTCTGCCAAAGTTTTACTTAACAACAATAATGAAATGGTAAATTTGATCTGAAGTTATCCAACTATTTATGATACCTATCTTCTCTTTTCCCTATTTGAATGTTTCAGCTACCGGAAGAGCATAAAGCTGAAGAAGCTGAGCGTTTAGACGAAGAAAATGATTTAAACAGTCAAGACCCAGTGAATCAGTACTCATCCGAGACGAAACCATCCTTAGCGTCTTACAAATGCAATGTAATAACACGTTTACCAATTTCTCAGCCTGCTCCTGTTATGCGTTGTTCGTCTACAGTTGAACAGAAACCGATCTATGAGTAGGTTTTGAGTTTTTTGCTACATGTTTGAATGGCAGAAATCGTCATAATGGTACTTTTTTGCAGTATGAAAACTACAGGATCTCTGGCTTCTCAGAATTCCGAAAATTCGAATATAACTCCACTTGAAAGTATTATCACGACGCAGCCTTTGCCAAGGTTTGTCGTTCCTGTGCTTTTTGATGGTTTACTTGCAAGGTTAACTGTAGATAGGCTCCAGGAAAGATTGTATTTTTATTAATCTCCGTATTGGTGGGAACGAAGTAAATAGATTATATAT